AGACCGGTTATTTTCACATCTGTACATTCAAAAGGTCCATCTGTCACTGATGAATTTTTACCCGAGAAACATTTCGAGCAAAATGCAATTAAAAAAGTTTATGACGCGACGCGAGAGCTTACTTTTTTTTTTTCCTCGCGCGCCACTTTCACACCAGAACACGACGAGAGATGCACGAAGCGGTCACTCGGTTTGCGAGCTACTGACCACTCGCAGTTGCATCCGCTGCACGAGATGCATTCACACACACACGCATCACACATCGGACCATCTCTTTCGCACACTACACCAACGAGCACGCGAAGTTTCCCCACCGACGGGACGAACGCATTTTCGCAATTGGATGTTCGAATCCGGTCGGCCCACCTTCGACCACATGTGAAGTTCGCTCTTGAAACTTCCTCTCGATTGAACGTCATAAAAATTATAGAATATACGGTGCAATTGTACGGCAGAAATGAATTTAAAATGTTATAAAGATGCAAACAAACTCAAAATTTTCGAGATAAGATCGAGTCATTAAAACTTGGTTTATTGTTGATGTTGGAGAAAGATTGTGTCGATTGAAAATGGTCGCTTTTAACATAAACAATATATGGTACTATATATATTATTTATTGCTGTTTTACTTTTATACGATTAATCACTGTTTCAATTTTATCATATTTGCAATTATGTTACAACAACTTGCGATAATTATAACTTAGTTCTTCGCAAAACAAGTATTTTTTAACTTGGTCTCTACTTGTACTTTTATAACTTCGTGTCACGATGCTTTTATATATAATGTTTCAAGAAATGTCGCCCGCAATTATTGCTCTTTTTTTGCACGAAGCTTTGATCTGTCAATTTTTTAAAAGAACTCGTGTGTGAAAATTATATGATAGTCTACATTATTCAGATCATGCAGTGGAAATATAGGAATATCAAATCACATAATACTACATAAAACTATAGAAAGAAAGAAATAATTTGCTACTTGACTATAGTATCGTTCTTCTAGTTTTATATATTTTTCTTCTAGTTCGCGGAATAAATCTATTAATGATACAGACCGAAACTTGCTGCCTCTTCGCGCGCCGTGTATTTTTTTTCTCAACCGAAACGTAGAATAGTTCCGTAACGACTAGTGGACCTCTCTCACCCTTTGCCTTGTTCTCCGAATAAATTCTCTCATCTCTCTCTCTCGCCCCACCTTCCGCCCCATGAATCTCTCAAGGCTCGAACAAAGGACCCAAATAAATACAAATAGCGCTTTCGAACAATGGCCACCGATGCAGGCCTCCGCCTATGGCGTTGTCTATGCGGCCCTCTTCTCTCGTTCCTTCTCTCATCTCGTTCGCCGTTCACGTTTGTGTCGCAATTGTGTCGAGAGAAACGGAGAAAGAGCGATATTTTTCGGGGACAACCTACGTGCAAAACGGAGTATCTCTCTCGGGCACGATGGGTCTTCGCGCCATAATTGGCTTTGCCATGGCGAATCGGCCTCGCATTATACCGCCATGCATTAGCATACTCGCTTCAAGATCTCTTTCGTCACGCGCATAATCGCGTAGATATGTCGCTCGAAGGGACGATCGCGCTGCTACTACTTCAACTTCGCGGGAAAAGTCACCGAGATTTTCTAATTGACGTCCGACTGTTGAATATGAGCAGCTCGTTTCATTTCTTGCGGTAAGTAATAATAACGAAATTCTATGATAAGAGGCACAATTCTAGATTATTTACGTCAATTAAAAAGTAATGTGTCAAATGTATAAAAGAAAATTTCAAATTTCGATATGAACTTTGAATTTTTTCTTTGACAACTTAAAAAAAACTTCTAACTTTTCATTAATTTAGATATACTTTTTCAGTAATTTAATAAAAAATGCACACATATATATCATGTACGTGTGTGTAGTTTCATTTTATATTATTTTATATTTTATAAAAAGTCTATCAAACAAATTTCATCGCGCTTTTGTTTTTTCCCGCGCAGTGTTTTTTTTTTACTCTTTTATGCAGATCAGATACGGGTATGGGATTACAGTTCCAGGGACGGCTGCACTTTTGCCAGTCAGGGCTGGTTTTGAATAATTCCCTTAGAACCCACTGACACGGTGTCACCTGGATGAATGAAATGCGAACGACCGTGAGAGAGAAAAGAAAATTGCGAATTATAAAGAGTCTGCGCGCTAAAAAACAATATTTACATTTACGGCACTGTAATTCGAATGACAAAAAATATTAATAAAAATTTCAAAAATTAATTTTCCATTATTCAATTATCACGAACTTAAAATTTTAATCGTTTGACAATTAAATTTTGCAATCTACATAAAATATTTAGTCATAATGACTTCTATAATGTCACCATTTAGAACTGTATAATATATGTGATATACGTAATATATATTCTTTTGTATGTATTCTTTGTATTTTATTTCTCCCATAAATATGCTTAATATAAAAATCTAGATCTTAATTTTCAATATTTCATACGTTTTAAGGAATGTAAATAATATAAGTATTACAAATAAATTTAGTTTTGTTGCTGAAGGATATGTCATCTTTTTATATATGTACTGTATATTGTATATTGTTATATTGTATTTTAATTTAATGTTCTATTTGTATATTGTTATATTGTATTTTATTCATAATAAATTCATTTAATAATTACTGTGCACTTGAGGCAGATTTCCGTTTATTAAATAAAGATTAAATGAATTCACGTATTTACCTCTATATTCTCTTCTCTAAAGAATATATCTTGAGTTTCTCAATCAAGTAAGCGTAGTATGATAACAGAAATTTGTATCCCTTGAAGGGACACATTTCTTAAAGTAGCACATTTGTAAAAGTAACAATTAGCGCCTTTATACCGTATCTTTTCTTCGTAACATCTACCGTCCGAGATGATCATATGTCGGCGAGAAAAAGTGCAAGATGCAAGAGTAAATAAGTGGAGGTGTTACATTACGAGGAGTCCCGTTGTAAAATTTCCGAGCGGGGCGGATGGTTGCACCCGGTTTTTAATTCGAGGTCAATGGCGCTCGAGGGAGACTTAAAACTCGGGCTAACGACGGGTCTGTTGACCCCCAAGATTTTTTTTGCCTTGGCCGTAGGATGAAATCGGACCACCCTGTCATTAGCATACAAAAGTCTCAACTGCGGGTCGAGTGAGGCCGCACGACGCAGCGGTTAACGACAATCATTACTCGGGAGGTTAGTGACTCGTAAACTCTCTCTTTCTCCTCTCTTCTTGTGGTTATCCCTTAACGTTCGCCCCTTAGTCGCGCAACCACACTTCCGCATTCGCCTTCCTCGTTTATTCCGGCGTTCCGTTTTCGTCGTGTCGGACAAAAACCGAAAGCTGTCTAAATACGAAGCGTTCGAAATATTTACTAATTTTTCGTATCGTCGTATCAAAGAAAAAGAATTTTTAATCATCGTTAAGGAAAAAGAACAAAAGGATTTTGTATGAATAAATTGTAGTCCCTGTAGCGTAATATTTCTATAATTTAAAATCTTTATAATTTAAAGCATCTGAAAACTTTTTTTCCAGAGTACGTACACAAGCAATTAATTCTATTATTCTAAGATATATTGTATAAAGTCACGGGATATACATATATATGCATTTGGCCGCACAAAGTGGGATGCTGCGAATGCTAATAAAATTTCCGCCAATTTGTGGACTGAGACTTTTATGTAATTTACGACAAAAAGTAATAAAGCAGAACGAATATTAATCGGGAAGTTATCAAATTTTATTGCATTAATATTTCTCGATTAATATCTTGATGTGTATCTATGTTATTCTTCATATATGACTATTATAAAAAAATTAAATAATAAAATAAGAAGAGAAAATAAGATAAAATATATCATGCAAAAATAAAAAAATTAACGTTATATTGCATTTTTCATTATATTCATTACGTTGTATTATTTTTATTATTTTGCGGGAGGTTTTCATTATTGATTCATTCAAAGAATATTTTTTTTATATCTTTCCATATTTTCTTGAAAAATTATTAAGAATCTTTCCAAAGTTCAACGCATGTTATCAACTTTGTCACTGGTTAAAAAGATACATATACAGAAAATTATATGATTCTAATGATATTCACTAATACATTTTAAAATCATATGTTTAATAAGGATCTAGATCAGGGAGGAGCGAGATATATATGCTTATGTCTTCCGCTTCCGTCAATCACTTTAAACTGGCGTATACGCAAAAAAACCACATCTATTCCGAATGTGCCATGTCCACAATAGACAGGTCTTGCGAGCCGTCTCGCCAGGAAACGTCATCGTCGTGGGAGAAGGAAGATGTTGAGGTTTTTTTGGAGGTACTCCCGCGTTTTTGTCTTCGTCGACAGTTGAAAGGGTTGCGCGGAAACGTCGGAGAGGTAGGCAGGGACGAGAGGGAGAGCGAGAGATGCAAAGTGAGTGAGGAGGGATCGAGACGAGACGGAAGCTGTTGAGACGTGTGGGAAACTGGCCCAAGGTATGCAAATCCGAGACTGGTGGTACGAGGATCGACAACAAGGGGGTAGGGGGCACTTTCGTTGCAAAAAAGAAGCGACAAGCTTCGCATATCGGTATTGTATTCGCGTTCCACCAGTGGACCAGTGGCACCGATCCTATGTAAATCGCCGCCGCGCGATCAAAGACTCGCCACGTCCCTTCTTCTCGTGTCTGCCTTACGACCTCTTCAGATCTCCGAGAGATTCACGCGACGCGCTTCGAATAATACGAGCCGTCTGAAATATAGTTACTACGAGGGACGTCGAAAATGTGCGATCGCGCGAGAAAAATATAGAACAGTATCTAAAGAGAAACAACTATGCTTATTCGATTTTTAGAAATAAGATTTAAGATATCTTCGTGTAATAGTATGCTGTTATATTCTGAATTGATATCTTTATTGTAATTCCTCCTTTTCGTACATTTTTTCATACAACTTTTATTTGTATTAAATATAGTATTATATCTTGGAATTTTTTACTCGTCGAATAATGACCGACAACATCTACCTATCGATTTTTTACTTATAATTATTAATAATTATTGATATAATGTTATAATTCCTGTATGCAAAGTGATATACGCTTACATAATTATAGAGAGAGTTGTATAAAATCCATGTTGGATAAATATACTTTTGTTTGACAAATTATAATTTTAAGATAATAGTATATGAGAAACATTTCTTTTTAAGACTTACTGTTGTTCCTCATTTTCTTGATAAATCAATTTAACATCTATTTCCGATCCCAATCGTTCGCGAAGTTGATCGAGAACGTCAACTTGAATTTGATCGACGTTTTCGAGAGGAGTATAATCATCCTCGCTAGATCTGTAAGACAAGAAATATTATCAAGTTATTTATAGCTAAGAAAAAAAGAGAGAGCGATAGAGAAAGGAAGAAAGAGAGAGAAATAGCTATATTAATAAGTATAGCTCTCTCTCTTTCTTTCCAGAAATAAGATTTAAGATATCTACTCATGTTAATAATACGTCATTATATTCCAAATCATCTTATTTAACTTCTCTCCTTGTCATAACATTTTTTATCAAATTACAATTTTCTTTTATATTAAATATAGTAAACTTCGATTTATTAAAAAGAGAGCTAAAGAAATGAAGGATTTGTATAATAATATGTTAAGCAATTAATTACAGTCAGGATAAAAAAAGAAAAAAAAAAGAAAAATGTTAATCATGATAAAGTGAGTAGTTAAAAGAATCGCGCTCTCATTTATTCTTGGTCTTATTTTACTTTCCACGACCATTAATTTTTCTACTTTCATCAGTTTCACTTTCCTAGCGATTCAATGTTTCTTTTGTTTTCCATTTCGCCCTCGTCAATTTTTGTCTCTGATCGCTTAATCGCCGTTTGGCAAACTACGAGAGAAACTGCAAACTGTCCAGAGGCGATATCCGGCGGCGTTACCGCGTCTCCCCCGGAAACTAATGTGCTGAAATGAGGGTTGGGGACAGCAAGGGGTGGCAGTACGTCGAATGGGGTAGAATCGATTTTTTTAAGTCTCCGCCGGAAGTTTGAGCAGAATCTCCGGACATTTATCACGAGATGGCGCCAAATTACCACTCACAACATTATTTCAAAAGTTTGTTGCTTCTTTTATGTATATATGTAGGATTAATTATGTATGTTGAAATAAAAATATATATTTTTCAAGAAAAATTGAAGATATACAATAACATGATGTAAAAAAATAATATTTAGTAAAATATATATACATATTTTTCTCTTGTTGCTGATCTGAATTTTTTACGATAAATCATTTTTAGCATTTATTTTATTTTAAGAGCAAGATATTTTCGTTAAATTTTATGGAATTCTTAAAAAGCAGTCCAATAAATTTAATATAAGTGCTTATGTTTGTGCTTCTTGATTTATCCAAATGTATTTTACGTCAATGTTTATATAATTTTTGTCATATATTGAGACAGTTTTCTCATCATCTATTTATATTTTTATATTACCATATAATTGCATAATAAATTCATGTGCACATGTTTTTTAAATAATACTTGCATATCAAGGCCTTCATAAACATCAAGAAAAATATTATATTACTATTCCACAAATAAGTTCGCGTTTAGGGATTCTTTACAACAAAATTACACGAGATATTATATTAATTATTTTGAAATCTCAAGAGAAATATCGTCGTGCTATTCGCTTTAATGTTTAGAAAAGGACGAAATAAAGCTGAGATAGGAAGAAACATGCAACATCTATTTCGGGAAATCGGAAGCAGGGACATCTAGCTATGATATGCGAAAGTTGGATGGTTTGATTTTGTGCACCCCTATGTGAAACTCATCTGGAGGGTGGGGCTTAACGGTATATCCACGATCCTAAACCCACCCCTTGGACAGCCCCGCCGTGTCGCTTTTGTAAGCCACCCTTCTTCTCTATTTCGTGTGCCCTCCCAGCATCTTCTTCTACGCCATCTGCGGTATTGCGGGCTTCGGTTTCGCGTGTGTAAAAACGAGACAATATAATTTCAGCCGTTGAAACCGTACATTAAAATCAATTTGTACGAGCCAAGCATTTAATCAGTATATGCATGAAGCCTACTGCGATTGTTAATTTAAACCTTCCATCCCTTTAAGATACCTGAACAAATCTTTTACTACAATTTTTACGAGCGGTTATATTTAACTCGTATTATTCATACGATATCAGTTTACAATGTAATATGATGTAACAATTAAATATTGACGATTTTATTAATTATAATAATTTCTTAATATAATTTAAAAAGTTATATGATGTTGCTCTCTAGAAATATACAATTTATTTCACAGTTATAAATATATTTATAATTTCAGTGACACATTTATAAACATATTTATAATTTCAGAATCATGTCACTATCAATCTATACTTAAATAAAGAAATAAAGATTTATTAAAGAATACATATTTATTAAAGAATGCATATTACTATCCGTTTTATATTTTCTTTGGTACATCATATACATTGTTTCATTGGAAAAATAAAAAAATAATTTACATTTAAAGTTGTTTGATGAAATGACTTACCTAGCTATGGTGACAATTGTTGGAAGTGTGGGAAGAGCCGCCAAAAACAGTCTAAATGTCCCATTAATCAAGCGATCGAGATCATTGGGCTCTGTCACATGTTCGGGTAGAGTCGTATCATCTATAGTGCAACCTGCATTGTACACTAGCATCCAATCAATCTCCGAGTCTCTGTAGGCGCTCGTTACTTCTTGAAAAAGACGATTCACAGCTTCGTATCTGAAATTGTAATGCATTTACATGACTAAAAGTAAAGCTAAAAGTTATCGCAATTAAATCTTACAAGTAGAAAAAACATGATGTGAAAAGTCTACTTCTTTAAGAATTTAATTAAATAAATATGTGTAATAATATACATAAAAAACATATTAGAAATATTATATTCAATTTTTACATAATATTGCAAATTCAATAAAAATATATTCCTTCAAAAACAATGATATTAAATTTGCATCAAATAACGAGTAAAATTATTCACATATTATTAATTATTTCAATATTGGAATTGTCAAACTGCATATTAATTTTTGTTCAATGACGTATCCTCATTGATATAAAATCACGCATAGTGCATATTGAGATAATCAATCTGCATTGCAAAAAAGAAGCAATCATAAATTTCGATACATACATTTACAAAATATGTATGTATGTACGTGTGTGCATATGTGTGTGTGTAAATGTATCAATCCAATTTTAATATTTTTATTAAATATTGATCATATAATAATACGAGAGCAATTATTGCAGCTAAAATCACTCAAATAAACTTAATGTTGTGGAATATTAAGCATATAAAAAAAGAGAAAAAAGGTCTTTGAAAAAAGTGATTGCACAGATAATTTATAAACTTCATCATAAACGCACGCGCAAGGAAGGGCTAAGGTAGACGGAGGACAAAGGTGAACGATGGAAAGTTTATAATGCCCCAACGATAGCACGTGGCTGTAAAAGTTGAGGTATTTCCTGAAGGCACGCGACGAAAGTTAACACGGCCACAAGAACGGTTCCGGGTGCCCGTAATTTGTACTTCTCCGTTCCTCTCCACGAGCGCTCTTTATCTCCCTCCCTCCGTGACTCCCTTATACCGCCCTCTGCTTTTACTCTTATCTGATCACAAGTTTTCCTCGTTTTCTGCAGCTGCAATTCCTGGTGCGGCACGATCGAACGATACCTCCGTTGACAAGCAGCGGCCGATCATCTGTTTTTTTTTTGTTTTTTTTTTATTTAGATTATCGATAATGATATCATTGGGGATGACGATGCAGGAATCGCGATGGCAAGTCACAAACTTGCCCCGTAGTGGGACAGTTTTGATCATACCTTAAAACCTGCGTAGATTATAATTATTATAGCATTTTGTGGACCGGGAATCCTATCCTAAATATCGCGATAGATTAAGTTAAAAAAATAGATTAGAATAAAATTTCGTTTTTGTTTCTTTCAATTTTAAAAAATTTTAACTCAATATTCAAATATTATAGCCTTTAATATTCCATTATTATTGAATACTAGAAATTCAAAAATGTATGCAATATGTATGTAAAATAATGTACATAAAAAATTCTTTTTATGACTATTTATTTTACAAAGTTAGCAAAAAAGGGGAAATTTTCATCAATACTGAATGGAGAAATTAGTAAACCTTTTCGTAAATATAGTCACGTTTATCGATGCAGACTTTGATAAGGGTAGATCGATGTTCTTTACACGAAGTACTATATAAAGCGCTCCGCCATAAATTAGACGATGCATGCACCAGAAGGCGAGGGGACATCTCCGGTATTAATAACGGAAACGCATGCAGGTCCTCCACGCCGTATCATTTCACCACTGATGCACAGCCGAGCGCATAATTTTCAAATTAAGTTAAGCGGTCTCAGGTTAGGTGATCACGGTAACCGAACGTCCGTCCATAATGGGCGTAATTGCTCCGAGAGAGAAGATGTGTTCTTGCCTTTTTAGTTTCTCTTTATACGAGCCAGTAGAACCAGGTGCGTGGCTAGCAAGCGGCGCGTTTCAGTCGCTAACGCGTCAACTGTTTATAAGAGAAGGCCATCGTCGGCCTTTCTCGCCCACTTTTTCCTCGCTGAATATTAATTATTCTCCTGAAAGTCGCACCTGCCCTAGCCGCCTCCAGGTCAGGCACACGTGAGCCCGCTTCTTCGTATCTATCTATCACAGCTCGTGATTCCCATCGCAGATTATCTTGACAGTTGGGTAATAATACTGGTAACGATCGATCTCGAAAATGCAAGGACGGTCTTTGCGCGAACAACTATGTAAATAATGTTGCAAATAATGAGAAGAGAAGTAACTGTATCTTCTGGCGTCGCAAAGTTATTTATTATTAGCATAGTTTGATTATAGCAAACACAGTTAATTAGAAATATGGATATTGTATTAAGAATAATAAAATGTCATTATATGTTATTTCACTATATTTGAAAAATCCAATGTATATTTTTATAATTATAATATATTATAATGTGTCATATATCTATGTTCATATAGTAATCCAAGAAAAAAGAATCTACAGAAAAAATATATTCTCTAAGTCTAGAGAATTATAAACAAGATGTCATTTTGTTTATTTAATATATTTTCTCGAAAATTGAAAAGATATTCTTTTCTTTTTGTTTTCTTTTTATGTAGTGAATTCAAATGCATTCAATATTTAGAGATTTAAAGATAAAATCTATTAAAATATAATTTAAAAAATATAATTCGTTTAGAGATATATAAATAAAACGTAAAATAGAACCGTTACTTATTATTATGAAATGTAAATAACATATGAAATTGAGTATATTATTGATTATTTTTGTGTTACACACACAATAGTTTTAGCAAAACATTTTATTAAAATCTTAAAAGGAATGAAATATGATTGATAATGTTTAAGCATCGTTGATAGATGTAATTACCAATGAGTTATTACACTCATCACAGGAATATATTAAAACGACACAACGAATGTTCGTAAACATTCAATCTCGAAAAGCGATTTTTCAAATCATATCGTTAGTGCAATCCATTAAGGATCTCGAGTTTGAAAGAAATTACTAGGTTCACATATAGACCTATGATTCCCTTCGCGTAATTCAAATTTAATGCCCATCATTTATATAAGATGCTCGAAAGCTGCAGATAATCGTGAAATTTTGATTTTTAAAATGCCAGGTGTATTACATCAGAAGACCTGTTAACATCGATGATTAATTATAAGATCTATGTAATGTTACTTATTGTTAGTTTTAGACTAGATATTTGTATACAACAATAATCATACTGGTAAATATATGTGTAGTTAATTTTAATGAAGCTCTTTGTGTACACATATTTATATAAAAAAATTATTAATACATTTTTCTTTCTCTAACACCAAGACAATTTTGAAGGAAATCTAATTAAAGTTATTTTATGTAAGAATTTATAATAAATAATCTTTGATAATCAATAGATGACTTGTTTTTCTACTTAGAGAATTCCAATTAAATTTTATTATAATACAAATTTATTTTAAATTTTTATTGAAACATTTAACATTAAAATTAAAAAATTATGATAAATAATAACTATAACATTTTAAAGAAACATCTACATTAAATGTAATAATTTATGGTTCATCAAATTTTTGCGTGTTATTATTATATATTTTTGAATATATTATTATATATTTTTGTTGAGAATAAAAACAAAAGTAAAAAAATTCGAATGATAGATCATAATTTACTACATGTAGGAAATATTTTTTCTTGCGTCTTTTATTACTGACGATTATTTCTAGACGAAACAATCAAGCGGCAGGATATTATTTGCGTGCTGTCACGGCTACAATTATATACGGCTGCAAAAACGATCGCGAGAACTCTTTGTGGATTCTTTTTTTATACCTATTTCAGGAAGCAGATGTCACGAGAGACTAGCGCCAACGCGTCCGCCTCTATCTCTACGATTCATATTTTTCGACATGTGACCGACCAGTTTTGTTATTTTCCACCACTCCTCCCTTTTTTTTACACAACCTACGTCCTCGTACAATGAGAGCAAAAGGAATACGAGGAAGAAAAGGAAGGAGAAAGGGAGAGACAGAAAGGAGAAGAGAGACAAGAGTAACGAGGAAGAGGAAGTGAGATACTACTGGTCCACACTGTCCCGACGAATGAGTTAACGGACAATGGCGGTCCACGTTGAAAAAATAAAGGAAAGAGGGACGTCGAGAATGAAGGGAAGGGGCCCTCATTACGAAGGGCGCCCCCGGTGTGTTTGTCGATAAGGGGGCCTATATGCAAATGGCCGTCCGTCACCGGGCGCGGCGGGAAGAAAAAGTTTCCCTCTCTCGCCTGCTGCCTCTCTGTCTCTTTCTCTATTTCTCTCTCTCTTTATCTCTATCTGTCCCGATACTACTTTTCTCGGTGCAAGAATAATGCCCTCCGACAGTACGCTGAAGCAGGAGCGAAGTAGGGAGGGTATAATGTATCGTAATCAGATGATCAATTATTAAGAGCGCGGCAAAAAAACAACGAGGGTTGACGTACGAGCGACAGGATAGGAACGTATCAGGATGCAAGGGGCCTTCGTCCTTTTCTGCTTCTGCGATCCATCTCGGGATCTCCCCGAGGCGACTGATACTCGATACGCGTTTTAAGGTTTCATTAAAATACTGTGAGACGCGGGTTCACATGTCGTCTTATCGCGAGATGTGCGTCGCCAGAATTTAATATGCGCATACGTTATTAAGAGTTTTTTTTAATGTCTGTTTTAAGCGGCGGTCCAATTCACATATATATCTTAGGTAATAAATAGAATAAGGTACTTAGTTAATCGTAGAAAACAAATTGTCTTATGGTGCACCTAATACGATTTTTAGATAAATTCAAATAATATTTAATTCAAATTATTGTTACTTTTAAATTAGAGATTTATATTTATATATTTAAAAAACTGTGTTTTTAAATATATGATTTATAATATTATTTCAGAGCTATCGATCAATTGTACTGTTTGATTTAAAATATTGATTAATTGTAGCAATTAAAATATTGATTAAAATATTGATTAACTGTAACTATTTTTACAGCAACTGTAATTATTTAACGAGTGCGAGATCTATAATTTATCACATATATATGTCTTATTTATACACTATTATATAAATAAAATAAATCATCAAAAATATCCTTAAAATTGATCCTCCGTAATAAACCTATCGCTTT